CCCACATGTTGAATTTTCCATGCATTGTAGTTTTCTCCTCACTTGAGCATGTATAGGATATTGTAGAGTAGCACTGAAATATCTCCTTCCACCTTGGCATCATAACATTCTGTTAATAACTCAAAGCTGCCCAGTACCCTTTGTTGCCTTTTATACAAAACAGCTCTCCCAGAACACCTATATAAGGGTCCTCTCATTTCTCTCTTTCACTCATTCTTTTAGTTTTCATCCTCAATTAAGTAACCACCTTGCACAATCTATTCATTCTTAAGGCACATTAACTAGACCAGGAAATGACAGAAAGATTCCTTGGCTAGAAGAAATAACAAAAATATTACAATTTATAGCAATATTATTTAGAGCAGAAGGGGACAACCTTAGGGTCCTTGTGTGTCCAATGGCCCTCAGACTAATTTCAAAAGCCCTGTGTATTAAATCATTTCAGGCCTCTGATGAGATTGATTAGTCCATTCCCTGGCATCCCACTGGTAAGAAAGAAGGAGAGAAAGAAAAAGGGATGACACAGATGTAAAGATATAGTGATGCCAGTCCTTTCATAACAGAGCAGCATTCCCAAATCCGATTCCTTTTAGATGTTTTAGGCTTCAACTTCCATCATGTGCTGTAAAGTCCCTGGTTCAACTCTCACTTCAGTCTCAGTGATGGTAGTAGCCTTACTATTACTTATACACCACTGCACTTCAACCCTCACATTGAAATATAATATTTGACTTAGTTACAAACTAGGTGTTATTGTTCACTGCCCCCCTCCCCCCAGCTCTCATTCTCTCTCTCTCCCTTTTGTTTTGGACAGATATAAGAATTTTTCAGAGAAAAGGCCAGCATCACTTTCTGCCCAGTTGCAGCCAGTCACACCTCCCTCTAGAGGCTGTTGGGATTGCCCTTGTCCAAGTCTCCAACCCCATTACCAGGAGGCAGCAATCAAGTTTGCCCTGAAGAACATCAGCCCAATCTACCAGGAGGTAGTGGAAAAATATCAGGAACTGGCTCTTTCTGGGAGCAAAATAAGACCTTCTACCCCAGTCAGCTAAATAAATGGAAGGGGAAGAAGCCTGAAATTTACAGTACATGTGGGAAAATATATTGGTAGTTCAAAACTGCATAAATCGAACAGTCATAAATAAAAATAAAACTGTCACTGGAGAATGACTGCCAGCAGCCAGAACAACAACAAAAAACTTTGCAGTTATATCCACAGCATAGTTTAATAGTCATTACCTCAAGATATATAATAAGGCCTTTATTACAGAGGTGTGGAGATAGGATGATGCCACTCCTTTGGCCATGCAATAGTCTTCCCCAGCCTGGTGCCACTCTAGATATCGCTGACTGGAAGTCAAGAATGGTGGGACTTGAGGTTCCAAACTTCTGGAGGGTATCAACTTGAACAAAGCTGTTCTAAAGGTAATATACAGTGTTTAAAGTATTTTTATTCTACTTTGCAGCCAAACTGAGACATAAAGTGATTTAATGTATAATCAGTAAAACAAGACAGTCACTGCCCACAGGCTTACAGCCAAGAAAAGACAAGCTGGGGGGGCGGGGGGGCGGGGAGAGAATGTAGAGGGAAGGGGTGGGGAACTTAATTCTTGTAGAAAAGCTACTGGAATGGCTTTGCTTTCCCTGCTCTTTCCAGCCAACTGGAATGGCTGGTGGTAGAATCAGTTGTTGGAGAGGAGCCTTCACAAGCATGGTTGCCTCTCGTTGTTTAATATTGTAAATCCAGGCTCTAAGATTTTAGATTCTAGATTTTTGTTTCTATTCCTTTGGCAGGGGTGGTCAACTTGAAACACCCCCCCCCCCCGCCCAGATGTTTTGATTTAGAAGCCCTATCTGCAACACTGCCATAAGTATGAAACAATTCTAAATTTGCTAGTGTAGATTTGCCTTCTGAATACATCACTCACAGAGGATCAAGTTGTGTTAAAAGTAAATACTCCCTTGCCTGAAATATTTAATTGATCAGCAGACATTCAGCAGCTTCTATTATCATGAGTTGATCCATGATGCAGGAGAGATGCAGTAGAAATGCCACACTTGGCAGTCTTCCCTCATATCACCCTTGTGAAGGTGGCATTACTTCCAGATGCTGTGCTTCTGTAGGGAAATTATACCCCATGTCTTTCAAAGAATTAGCAGCTGTGCAATAATTTATGTATGCCAACTTGAAGAGGGATTCATCTGTCCCTCCTCCCCTACAGGAGCCCATTGTTTGTTTGTCAAGAAAGAGAATATTGAACTTTGTCTTTGTCTTATCTGGGTCCCTTAGCTGCAGTCCAGACTGCTAGGAGACTCTCTTCCCCAGGTCATTTTTTTCTTGTTTTTTCCCCCTTTTTTATAATTGCTTGTAACTATTACTCTGTCTAGGAAAACTAGCCAAGTGAAGTCAGGGAAGGGTAGTGTAGTGTAGGAGAGACAAGGCAGGAGACAAAGACAAGGCAGGGGAAAAAGGTAGGGCCTGCTAGGGGTGCCCTATATCAGGCCAGGAGATGGCCATGATGGGAATCATGAGTGTTGCTGTCCGCTGTGACACCTGTGACATGTTTGCCTTCTCCCTCAAGAGAGGCAGGGCTACACTTACCCCAGGTGCAAGCTGGTGTCCCTCCTAGAGGAGAAGGTGAGGAGGAGGAGGTGAGGAGTCTAAGGGCCCAGAGAGCTCTCCAGGCTGCCCAGGAGCAGCCCCCCTCTGGACAGAAGGTTGAGGGAGAGTGAGCAGGAAACAGCCAGCCAGACATGGAGACATGTCACCCACAGGAGGAGAAGGCTGTCATGGCCTCCTCAGTCTCCTGCTGCTGACCTGGAGCTGGGAAACAGGTTTTCTCCACTTGGGGAGGCTGGAGATTATGACTTGGGGGACCAACCTGTCCAAGATCTCCAGCCTGGGGCTAGCTGTGGCCAGGGGACCACTGCAGGAGAGGCAAGGGCCATGGCACGGCCATCTACCGCCACTGGGAAGAGACAGCGGTGGGTGATCGTCAGCAGGGATTCCCTGCTAAGGGGTACTAAGGCAGTGGTGTGCCACCCTGACCTTGGAGTGAGGGAGGTCTGTTGCCTCCTGGGCAGATGCAACTGGAATGTGACAGACAGAGCCTTTTTCCCTTGGGAGGTTCACCGGCTGCTTCTGGTGATCCACATGGGGATGAACAACACAGCCAGGCAGGGGGTGGGCAGCATCACTAGTGACTTCGAAGGTCTCATCAAGAAACTCAGGGATCTAAAGGCACAAGTGGCCTTTTCCTCTATCTTGCCAGTCTGGGGATTTGGGCCAGCCAGGGAAAGACGGGTTGCCAAGCTGAATGACTGGCTCAGGGAATGGTGGCAGAAGAAATGCTTCAGGTTCCTAGACCATGGCACTGGTTTCTTGCCAATGGAGTTCTGGCGAGGGACAGGGAGTACCTCACGAGGATGGGGGAAAAGTTCTTCAGAAATGCTCTAGTGAGCTTTGTCAGAATCAGGAAAGGGAGGAGGAGGATGGGAGACCCAAATAAAAGGATGTAGGAAGCAGTGAGATGCATGCATACCAATGCTAGGAGGATGGGTAATAAGTAGGAAGAGCTTGAGGCTTTCCTGGAAGTAGGAGTGTATGACCTGGTGGGGATCATGGTAACTTGGTGGGATGAAAGGCAAGGCTGGAATGCAAACATAGAGGGGTATGTCCTGTTTAGAAAGGACAGGAATGGAAAGAGGGGGAGGGGGCATAGTGTTATATGTCAGGGAAGGGATAGGATGCAATGAGACAGAAGATGGCAGAGATGGGGATCTGGCAGAAAACTAAGGGGTTTTGACAAGGGGATATACTGGTTGAGAAATTGAGAAGTTTTGGGGATAGACAGGTGCCCAATGGATTAGGGCATGGTTGATGGCCCAAAAGCAGAGGGTAACTATTAGTGGGGATCAAGGCCTGGTTCAGAGGGAAACTTCTAAATCTAAACATCACAGAGCGGTCAGAAGCAACCCTCCACCCCGACTTCCTTAGTTGTCTTGGAGACCGCAACACCTCCAGGTGTCCGAACAGAGGGTATAAGGTCCGTCCCCATCCACACACCCAAATGACCCTGTGTGTAGGGACAATGGAGTGTGGCAGTCTTACGACAGCCAGTGGGGTGGAGGGCAGGTTCTGTGAATGCACAGATGACCACTCAAAGGTAAGCAACCTGCCTTTCTTCTTCATGGTCTCTGTGCATCACACATGTAGGTGACTAGCAAGCTTACCCTTTGTGGATGGAAGGGCTGTCATTGCAGAACAGCTGAAAGGACTACCCTAAGGCACAGTCCTGTCTTGCATTTATGTTGAGCCTGTAGTGCTGAACAAAGGTTGATTGGGTGGACCATGTGGCTACTTTGCAGACACTGTGGAGAGAGATTCCAGCCAGGGAAGCAGCAGATGTAGCGTGTGCTTGCGTGGAGTGCATGTGAGGGTGTGGTGGGATGGTTGAGCCCTGCCATCTCATAAGCTAGGGAAATGGTACTGGATATGCACTTGGAAAGTCTCTGGGGCGAGATGGTATCCCCCTTGGTCTGGCCACTACAGCAGATGAAAAGATGGTTTGTGTGGCAGAGCTGTTCTGTGCACAACATGTAGAAGGCAAGCATTCTGTGGACATCCAGGCAGTGGAGCAATGCTTCTAGGGGAGTGCATGGGCTTGGGAGGCTGGGAGGACGTTTTGGTTCATGTGGAAGGCGGAGGTGACCTTGGGCCAGAACTGTGGATCTCTGTGAACAACTGTGTCCTTGTAGAAGGTGATGGATGGGTTTTCAACCCTAACAACTGCCAATTCACTTGAGGGAGTATAGGACAATGGAGAGCCTCCACAAAAGGGTGTAGGGGCATACTGGTAGAGTAATATTTTGGAGGACACAGAGGAACCTGCATGCTAGAGGGTGTGTGAACACAGAGGAACTTGGGATGGGGGGGGGGTGATGAGACTGCAGCCAGATGGACCCTGAAGGAGGATGATGACAGTCCTGAGCTGAAGCATGTCTGGAGATATGGGAAGGGTCTAGGTTTCCCGCCCTGGCGTGGCAAGTGAAGGCAATCCATTTGGTCAGGTAGGACTTGTGGGTGGAGGGTTTTAGGGCAGCCTGTAAAAAAGATGCGATAGCCAGGGGGTGGTGCTGAGTAGAGGTTTTTCTCCAGGCAGGTTCAGGGTGCTGATGTCTGGGTGAAGCTCCTGGCCCTCTGAGAAGGCAGGTTGTGGTTCTATGGCAGGTGGAAGAATGTTTTGTTGGACAAGTAGAAGAGGGAGCCACAGCTGTCATGGCCACCAGAGGTTTATGAGGAGATAATCTGTGTGGTCCCTTTGGATTTTGGGGATCACCTTGATGAGGAGAGGGAAGTGGGGGAAGGCATAGGAGGTGTGGGAGCCATGGCTGTTGCAGCCACCAGGGGGTGATGGGGAGGTAGTGGTTCTTCTGGATTTTGGCAACCACCTTTGTAGTCAGGGGGAGGGGGAGTAGGTGTAAAAAAGGGTCCCTTCCCATCTCAGGTCAGTGAAGTGTACTACCAACAGCATGGCAACCATGAAGCCCAGGAGTTTCTGTAAGGTGTGGGTGGTGGAGCAGACTGGGTCCTGACAGCTGTGGTGCAGGAGGTAAGTCTCGACCCATGGCTGTGTGAGGACTTCTGTCCCCTTGCAACTCTTCTATGATTCTATGAATTGCTCATCCTGGTTACACTTAATGGCTGCAAGAGCACCTGGAGAGTCTGGCCTTGGGATTAGCACCTCCACTACTCTCATCTCAATGTCTGGAATTGGCCCACATTCTAAGGCCTCCCCTGCTCCACCTCCTCCGAGTCCCAATCAGCATGTCTTAGGAATGCACGCTAAGAACAACTGCCTTTCTCATTCCCAACACATTACTCAGCTTACTAGAGGGCTCTTATTGTTGCATGGTCTTGTTAACTATGAAGTGCTAATAAAGATCTACATTGGTGTTTTGGAGCCTAGGGCAGGAAGGGAAGGGTCTGGCTCAGACAGCATTCACCACCTGGAGCACTTTGCTTTTGGGCCTGGCAGTGAAGACGTTAGTCAATATGCCCTTGCCCAGGAAAAGCAGGTAAATGGGATGCTCATCAGTTGGCAGTGGCTTTCATGCTTATAAAAAGATGCCTAAATGCCATTGAGAAAATAAGAGGAAAGTCGGAAAAAGAAAAAAGTCCTGCATGGGTTCAGAGGAACTAGAAAGGAGAAAAAATTCTAGTGTGTATATGGGACATTGTTTTTGTGGAAAAATATGACAAGAGACCATGGCCAAGTTAACATAGAGGGAGAGGAAGAACTTCACAAGGCACCAGAGAAGATAGTTGAAGAAGCTGAGGCAAGAGGTGGGAACTCCTCCCATTTAGACCAAATGCTGAGGTGATGGAGGGGTTCCCATCAAAACACTGTCAACTATGAAATCTTCCTAACAACAGCCTCCATGCAGGTACAAAGCTCATATGTGTGATGCACAGAGAGCACAAAGAAGGAGAAATTGTGTGTGAGAAAGACAGAAACAGAGACAAAGAGTGTAAGGCCACACAAAAGACCAGGAGGGTATTTGTGAGCAAGATCACATGAGGAACAACAGTGCATGGACACAAGATGTTTGTTGGGACACTGGAAAAAACAGAAAAAGTAAAAACCCAAAAGAATCTGAAGAAAAAACAGGAATGCTCATTTGAGTAAACTAACATGATATAATCTAGACATTAAAAAATGCAGTAAGTTTTGATCCTTTAAAATTATCTTTATTCAAGTTTTCAACGAATAGATGACTAAAATAAGCAGGAGTACACAAAAGTACAAACTTAAATCCAATAATGTTTGCATACTGGCATGGTGCTTTTGAATGGTATGAACTTCTGTATTAACCTACTGGCTTCAGAAGAACCCTGCTCCCCATGCAAACACATCCTCCCACCCCATCTTTACAGTTAGCTTCTCTGTCCCCTTTCAATTAACCGTTCAGTTAGCAGTATTAAGAACTGAGGTTTCCTGAATTTACTTAATGGCTTTCATCCTTGTAACTTAAAATTTGAAACTATGTTTTCACTAGAAGAGACAGTGAAACATGAGAAGAATGCAAAAGAGCATTTCCTATTATTTTGCTTTTGGTTAGCAGTTTGTCATCAGTTTAAGTTCAACTGATTCCTGGATCTACCTATTGACTGAAAAGCTTCAGACATGGCTTGTTATGAAGCTTCAACTGCCTAGAAAATTAATTAGGATAAATGGAACAGATTGACCTGGTTTTGCACATAAAATGGACTTAGTATGGGTTGTTGAATCATGGACTGTTGTTAAAATGGGAGTTGCCATAATGTATTTACCCTGTGCTGTTGCTTTTTAACAGGTTGTTAACCATGAGCAACCCAGGAAATGAACTCATGGTTGCTGTGAACTCTGGGCTCCTTTTGGTTAATTACCTGTACCTAAACCATAGTATAACCTTTACATGTAAAAACAACCCATGATTTAACCAGAACCCATGTTCAATCCATGCTGAACCTGTACTTTCAGTTATCATTATGTGTGATCCAGGTCACTGAGTTTGATGCAACAAGGACACCCATATCCTAACAGGACATGAGAAACAGTGCTATAAGTTATGTGGATCTATACTATATATTCATCAGTTTCTTGAGTAATGGAATGGCTGTTAGAGGAGAATGTTCTGGGTGAAAGTGTGTAATGAGAAGAGTTCTTGAGCTGCTCCTCTGGAAAGTATAAGCTCTTGTGAATCAGATCTTTGACAGCAGAAACATCATCTTCAGCTATGAAAGAAAGAGGCAAACACATCATCACTAGCAAGAAGTATTGTTGCAATAATATAATATTGAAGAATCAGTGTACTTCAGCTCTGTGATTCCTAACTGTCATAAGAATTTGTGGAATTCACTTCTTAAAAGCATAAATGCATATTCTAGCAATGTTTTAGGGAAGACTTAAACTAGATTCATAGGATCATCCCACATCCAACAGGGAATTTTTTGCAGGACACTCATGGAGAACTCAACTTGTAAATAGATTCAGGTGCTGATTTTTGCTGAGAAACCATGCCTCTGGTGTGCCCACAACTGGAGTACTATGTCTAGGTCTGGGCTCCACATTACAGGACAGACATAGCTAGGCTGGAGTCAGTGCAGTGCAGGGCCACAAGGATGGTGGCCAGATTGCAGGGAAAGCCGTATGAGGTGAGACTGAGGGAGCTGGGTCTTTTCAGCCTGGAGAAGAGGAGCCTCTGAGGGAGTCTTTTAGCAACTTACAGGTATGTGAGGGGATATCATGTGAAGGAGGGCTGTGACCTGTTCTTCCTTGCAATGGAGGGCAGGACGTGTTCCAATGGGGCAAAGTTCAAGGAACTAGGATTCAGGTTGGATGTCAGGAAGTACTTCCTGGCAGTTAGGATCCCTAGGATATGGAATGGGCTTCCAAGGGAGGTGGTTGAGGCCCCATCAGTGAGGGTGTTCAAGGAAAGATTGCACAACCATATACTGGGGATTACACGAGTGGAGCCAGCTGGAGCTGGGGATCAGACTAGATGGCCCAGGAGGCCCCTTCTCACTCGTTTTGTTTCTAACCAAAAGAAACAACCTATTTACAAGAGCAGGTTCCAGGTGGAGCTGTACAATGATGTGAATGCAAACAACAGATTCTGTGTACTCACTCATCTGTCATTTAAAAACAAACGGAACTTTATGGTTGATAGTTCTATCAAAAGTTAATTACTTATGCATGAAGACAGTAATCTCAAAACAAGGAGATATTTCACACAAAAACCAGGAAAAGGCTGTTGACTTCATGCCCTGTTTGATGTGTCCTGAGACATTAATGTGCCATCTAGACAACTAATGTTGCATTAAAAATTGTTAACTTGTTTTAGTGGTGGGTTTCTATTTTAGCATTCGTTGCTGGACAATTGTTATTTTTATTTTTTAGACTAATTTGCTGCAAACCGTCCTGAGACTTTTAAGTATGGGATGGTATAGAAATGTTTTAAATAAATAAATAAATAAGAAAGAAAGCTGAACTAAATGGCCTCTGAAGACTGACCGACTAAGGCAATTCTTATGGTTTGCTTCTCTGAGTTGCAGGAATGCTTTCAAGTGTACAGGCCAACAACTTCAAATACAAATCAAATACAGAGTGATTCCTGCATTCAGTAGATGAGACTCACCCTACAAAAATCCATTTCCATCCCTTTCTCTACTGATTATACATGATGGTGAGAACATGTATGTATGAATCAATCAATCCTCCTTAAGCATTCCACTTCAATACATTGTACCAGTCTGCTTGTCATGAAAAAATATTTCAAAATTGTAAACAGTGTTGCAATGGGGGAAGGAAGTTGCCAATCAGATGTTTTAAATCATGGTGAGCAGCTTCTGACCATCCAGGTTTTTAGCTTACAGTCCTATCTGCTCTAGCCAGCATACTCAATAGTGAGAGGATATGGGATAATCACAAGTTGTTCACCCTTGTTTTAAATACACTTAGGGAACAATCTGACATCTTCTGGAAGACCATAAGATTTTTCCAAGTATGAACCACCACTCCACCTTACCCTTTTGCAGCCAGCATGGAAATAACTGGCAACTACCTCCCCTGCGGTTGTAACTGGGCTTCAGAGTGAGGGAGGGGGGAGGCAACTGGGCCTCAGAGCAGCTGGGGCTGTGGAGTTGCACTGATTCCCTCCCCACCCTGCGCTAAATGACCATCTGGATTAAATGTGGGGTGTGAAGTGTTGCAAGCAGCAGCAGCAATTGCCACTGCAGCTTGTACCTAACATTTGGCATGAGGAGGATAAGCCTGCACCCTTCCTGTATATTTAATACTTTGCATTAAAACCTCCAATCACAGAAATTGATGAATTTTAGGATGGAATCCTAAATCAGCTGCTCATAGTTCTTGTTCTCCCTTTCTGTTCTTTTATTTCTTATAATCAAAACCTCTCTAACATTTTTAGGTTATAGAAGGCTTATGACGTACCCACATGCAGCTGGAGCAGAAGATCTCTGTATTCAGAGTTATTCTCTAGTATCTTCAGCAAATTGGTGGATTCCATTCTCTCTAACTGCACATCCCAGTAGATGTAGATCTTTTGGTTAAAGCTGACATATACCAGACAAGGGCTGTTAAAGCCTCCTTTGCAGGCAAAGAGGCCTAAATAAATGAAACAGCCATCATTGAAGAACTAAACAAATTTCAGGAAAAGATTATTGAGCTACAAGAATATTTAATAACAACATCAGATGATGATACGCATGGTGGTGTACACCACACAGAAAGCTTCAGCTATTAGGCTTCAGAGAAATTAAATAAACAAGCATATCTCAATTTACCCTACAGCCCTAATCAGTTGAGATAAAATACAAATCTACTGGTGAGCAACTGCAACATGAGCTTGTAAATGTAGCACTGCAAATTTTTCAAGGACTGGATGTAGGGTTCTTCTGCTGAGGTAATGACTGAGCAAGGACTTCTGATCAAGTGCTCACAGAGGGCTCTACATGCATATTCTCAACCTGATTGTTGTACATGATATAGCTAACACCTAAATGTATGTAATACCTATTTAGCTGTAAAGGAATATGGTTTTAGTGGTCATATTTATACCACTTTCCAGGAAATATATCAATATATATAAACAATTAGCAGGAAGCTGTAACTGTACTATAAATTGTCATTTTTCACTTAATCCACCCTTGGGTGCAGAGGAATCTTTTCTAGTCCAAATTCCAGGAATCTTTTTAACTGGAGATGCCTAGATTTAAATCTTGGACTTTATGCATGCAAAGCATGTATTTTACCAATGAACTATGGACATCTGACTAAAAGTAGTAGAACATGGCATTAAATGAACATATCAAGCTGCTTAACAGTGAGTCAGGCCATCGGTCCATCTGGCCCAGTACTATCTCATCTGTATGGCCAAGCTTTGACCTTTCTGAGTGGATAAAGAAGAGTGGATGAATTAATGAATGTAGTGCTTCATATTGACTTTCCAAAATCTTAGGCAGCAGTCCCTGAGCCCTGCTACCTGAGCACCATTAACTTGAAATGACAGGAAGTGAACTGGGAGTCCTCTGCATGAAGATTGTGTGTTCTACCAAGAGCCTTCTCACACAGAGTATGGAGTTTAGTGGTTACCCAAGTTTATGTATCTATAGTCAAATAAGCAACTCACCTGCACAGAACGCACTCACATTTTCATCTACTTGGAACCTAGCCACTGTACGGCTGTGGTCTATGATGTATGTCTGTCCATCCCAAGCACAGGCAATTACCTCTTCATGTCCATTGCCCTGGAAGAGTTAAAAGCTTCTGATTAGGAAGAATAAATCTGATCAACCCACATTCCTGTATCCATCTAGCCCAGCACTAGCAGCTTATTGCTAAAGTTAAAATCTGGGAGGTTGATACAACAAGAAACAAGACTGACGACTACAGATACAAGCAGCCAATTTATGGGTTACAATAGCTGCAAAGCATATTATGGGGAGGAAGAGAGAAACAGCACTCTAAGTGCCCTGTGCCAACATGAGCACCATCAGAGTTGTTTTACTGGCTAAAGATCCAAGATATTATCTGTTAAGACCATTAAAAAGAGGCAAGTTTTCACTTGAAACTGCCTGGAGGGTTATCTTCCTAGAAGCATTATGAAGATGCTCTTAACTTTCTAAAGAATTTATATACATTTAATAAATATAGAATTTTAGTTGAGAACCACCAGAATAATACAAGCCTCTGTTCGCCTGAAATTGTTTATGCCTCCAACAAGCTGTCAAGCACATATTGTCTCATTTCAACCCTCCCATCCTCTTTATAAGAGTATGGTTGCCTCTGCTGCTAATTCACCAAAGTAGCCTTTCTTTTTCTCCTTGCCAGGGCATCAGTTCCTTGTCCCCTGAATCTAGGGAGAAAAAGCAGGTGGATGACAATGGCCACACTGGTGGTGATGCCTCGCTCTCAGAAGAATGCATGCCAGCACCATATGCAGGGAAAAGTATCCCTAAAAGCAAATAAACTGTTTTATTTTGTGGTGCTTCATTTAAAGGTTGCTGCCTGAATTATTTAGGACAGAATGGGTAACTCCAAGATGTTCCTCTCTTTCCTAATAGATGATCTGGGTGTATTTGCATCTACCTGTCCAACTGTTGCAATCTAGAACACAACTCACAGTAACATCCAGTTTTTCTAGAGCAAAAAGTTGGTGGTCGACCTGCACTGACCACAGCAGCTTGTCTGCTCCCTCCATGAGTTTCAGAGTCCCTACAGGGGAAAGAGAAGGTTAAATGGAAAATGGCCCCATGTTCTTTCTGTATGCTGTGCCACAGAGATCTCATTTTACAGGGTAGTAGTTCCTATCCTGGTGTATTGAACTAAATCTGGCCTGACGCATCTAGCAAAACACACTTTATTTGGATATTATTGACACAAGAATGTTCTTGCTGTGAACAGTTCATTTCTTAATTTCTTTTGGGCTGTGGGTCTATAATCAGCAGTTTGTTGATTTTAAGTTTTCCCTGCCAATGGGGTTTGGTAGACCTGCAGTAGCTCTGGTTTGCCTATGGAACTGGAAGATGACCTAAGCATCACCACCCTAACAGTGGCACTCATTTAGCACCGGGTATCCTAAGGAACTGTGGATAATTATTCAATGACCAGAGTGCAAATGGTGAAAGAGTGCAAACAGTGATGGGTCCAACCGAATATAGGCTGGAGTTGTTGTAAGAATCCTCTTGGTGGCAGTGATGCTGGGTAAGTAAAGATACTTCTTTGTTGCCTTTAAACCTGTACAGTGTCAGACAGCAGAGCTTTCCCAAGATTAAGGGGCATTTCATAGCGGCCCACAGTAACTGTTTGCACAGATACCATCGATTTTGACTTAAGAACAGAAAAAAGATCAGGAAGAGAAAATTAGACAAAATTGCTATAAAATGCATTGGAGATTAAGAATTAAAGATGAATTTCTGTTCATAGTATTTTTTAATATAATTCCTGACTGTGGAACACACTCCCCAGAGAGGTTCACCTGGCACCAATGCTTCTTTTCAGCAAATAAAACCTTTTTATTCTTCCACTATTTTATTGTTAATTTATCTTAATATGTGGTTTTACAGTTACATTTAATATTGAATGCTGTGCTACTTTTACTTTATCTTATTTTATTGTTATTGTAAACCATACCAAAACATCTATGATGGGATGGTATACAAAAGTTTTAAATAAATAAAATAAAATAATTATTTATATTTTTTATCATTGAAATTCTTCATTTTGTTTTTATGAGCATTTATTTGATGTATTTGTTATGACCTTTGGCTAGTAAAATACACTTTTTTAAAAAACTGACTTTAAAAAGTTGCAGCCTCATCTGCTCAGCCTGCTATGATTTCCTTTCAAATTATTCTGCCGGAGGATGTGGAGAGACTGAATCCCACCAAATGTAATCTTGATTTTTGCCCTTCCTAATTCCTTAAACTTGACAGATCTTTCTTGCACATTGAGTATTAGCTGGGCATTGCCCCTCTGAGAGAGGATGTCATTCTAGTCTCAGAGGGGCAAGCCAGTTACCCATCACAGGGTTTAAATAGCCCATCCAGATGATAAGTCACAGGCAAGCCAAAAAATAAAAGAACCCTTTGGCTAGAGTGTCAAAAAGCTCTGCTGTTCTGGTCAGGAGGCTCTAGCTAATGACAGCTAGCAGAATGCAGCAAGCATCTGTTTTCCTCAGGCTCCTACCAATACTGGAGGGAGAGGATTGCTCAAGAGCAATACTGCTCTTCCTGCAGCATTGGCAGGAGCTCAGAAGTTAGTGTTGTCTGCAGACCACATTCCCAGGCCCCATTTAGAACCAGCCTTTTGGTCCTGCTTCCCTTGAGAGAAAGGCAAGTCAAACAGCTGGCTCTCACCTGCCACCACCACTGCAGCAGGAGAAAGAGCAGGAATGCACTGCTACCTTTGCCTTACTCCTTTCCAAGGAAGAGGTGCATGAGAAAATTTGGTCCTTCTCCCACAGCAACTTCTCAAGCCTTGTATAGGACTTGGAAAGAGGAGTGCTAGACACCAGCTTGCCCTCCTGCTCCTGGGTGGTATGACCCCTGCAGGCAACATGCCATCTGAATGCGAGCATGGGAGTACTGCAGAGCAGGATGGTACATTAAACCAGGTCAATTCCCAGGGCAACCCAGCCAAACATGCTCCCTGCCTCTTAACTGCTGCTCAGCTCTGGTATATCATGCTTGAGCCACATGAAGGGACATAGGTGGGCTCTGTGTTGCTCAGCTGCAGCATGCATCTTACTCTGGGCTTCTGCGCCTAGCACAAGGCATTCCTTCCCTTCTCATCTGCCCATTCCTGGTTCCTTGCCCAACACTC